TCCAGAGAGAAGGGAACTAGAAGGGACTCTGGCTATCATTGTGGGGCCTTCCTGGGATTCCCTTCCTCCCACCCCCCATCCCCCTCTGCACACCCCTCAGCCAGAAAGCCCCTGCTTCCTAATCCTCGCCCCTCCCCCACGGCCATCTGCTGAAAGGAAGTGGCTCTTCAGTTCTTCACAGGAAGCCACAGGCCTCCTCTGCTTCAGCTCCCTCCCACTGCCGCTGACCAAGCCCTCTGCAGGCCCAGGTCCTCTCCCAGGCTGGGTCCAGGGACGCCCTGCTTCTGGCATTACCCCTGCTGCGCAGCCAAGTGTCGCATGCGTGTGAAGTGCTTCCCTCATTTCCTGATCATCCCTGTGGCTCAGGCCTGGCAGCACAGGCGGTGGCCCCGCAGGTGAGACCTGATCGCAGAGGGTCCGGAATGCTGTGCTCAGGAGTGTGGAGATCCCCGAGAGGAGAGGGCACACCCTGCAGTGTCTCCGGATTGGCCGCTCTCGTGAGCTTCCGGAGCTCCTGCGCAGACGGGGGCAGGGTTGGACTCATTCCAGCTCGAGCATCCGTGTTAGGGCCTGACCCAGGGAGGGCTGTCGGCAGTTGTGGCGCTGCGCAAGGATGGTGCAGGCTGAGGAGGAGTCCAGGGTGGGCCTGCACTGTCACCTGGTGGCCACACCAGTACATAGCACCATGGGAGTGTGGGAGGCCTGCCAGGATGGGCAGTGAGCTGACTTCCAAGGGTCTTAGGGGCCAGGGAGGATCTTAAAGAGTAAAAGAAGCCGGCCGGCGGGCGAGGCTCAGTGGTTGAGCCTCCACCTGTGAACCCAGGTGACAGTTCGATTCCTGGCGGGGGCTGCAAGCTCGATCCCCAATGTGGGTCCTGCAGGAGGCAGTTGATCAATGATTCTCTCTCATCATTGATGTTTCTCTCTTTCCCTCTCCCTTCCTCTCTGAAATCAATGAAAATATGTTTTTTTTAAAAAAATAATAAAATAAATCACTAGATAAAGGAGTCTTTTTTTATATATTTTATTGATTTTTTACAGAGAGGAAGGGAGAGGGATAGAGAGTTAGAAACATCGATGAGAGAGAAACATCAATCAGCTGCCTCCTGCACACCCCCCACTGGGGATGTGCCCGCAACCAAGGTACATGCCCTTGACTGGAATCGAACCTGGGACCCTTGAGTCCGCAGGCCGAAGCTCTATCCACTGAGCCAAACCAGTCAGGGCAAGGGGTCTTATTGAAGAGCATGACAGCTCTAGCCCTGGCCGGTGTGGCTGGAAGGTAGGGTTTCAGGTTCGGGTCCCCGGGTGAGGCGCTTACGGAAGGCCAGGCAGCCAGTGCTCTTCTCTCTCACGTGGATCTCTCTCTTCTCACCCTTCTTCCTCCCTTCCCCTCTCCGGAGTTTGTCCTCGGGTGAGGATTAAAACAGAATACAAACAACAACAAAAAACAGCCCAGTGGGCAGGCTCAGTGTTTGAGCGTAGTCCCATGAACCAGGAGGGAGGTCACAGTTGGTTCCATGGTTGGTTCTGTTCATTCCAGGGTCAGGGCATATGGCCGCCTTGTGGGCTCCATCCCCAGTGGAGACGTGTAGGAGGCAGCCTATCAATGTTTCTATCTCTTTATCCTTCTCCCTTCCTCTCTCTAAAATCAATAAATACATTTTTTTAAAAAAAAAAGAGCATGTCAGCTCTAACTTGAGCACTGAAGAAAGGCATTCTAGGTCTAGATGAGAGTCCAACTCTTGCCCTCCTCCGTTTTATAGTCTAGGAGAGCGATCTCAACCTCTTTCATCTCACACAGAAAATGATTAATAACATTCTGTGGCCCACCAAAAATTATTTTTTGCTGAAATATATATTTTTTTGCTGATCTGACAAAAAATTAGGTATAATTTTGAATCAGTCACATCAGACGGCTATTGGCGTGTTGACTGTTGTCATTTTTTAAAAAATTTGACAATCTGAGAGATAAAAGGTCAGTACCCCTGACTAAATAGTCAGGTTTTGCATGTCTTAAAAATTCTTGCAACACATCCATGTGCCGTGGCACACAGTTTGAAAATTGCTGGTCGAGGACATAGAGGCTCAGGGAGAAATGATGAGGACAGAGGACCTCAGCATTGTTTTCCATCAAGTCAGCCACACAGATGGATCTATTTTCAGACTTGTCTTAGGGTGTGGTCCCAGAGTGCCCTGCTAGTTTCTAGTCACCCTCATTTGTGACCAAACATGGCCTTTCTCAGCACCATCGCCCACCTTAGTCCCAAAGTTGGCAACCAGATTGCTTTCGTCAGCTTCAAAAATAAAATCTACTCTCCGAGGGCTGGGATCTGACAGGGCCAGGGGGGTTCAGAAGGATGTGCTTCAGGCTCAGCAGTTTTAGAGGAGGAAGTGTCCTGAAGAATATGATATCCAACCCCACTGGTTTGCAAAAACAAGGAAGAAGCTGGGACTCAGGGAGGATAAGTAACCTGCCTGAGGCACCCCACCCTGGAGCTGGGCCAAGACACGCTGTGTGTCTTTCTGAAGGCCATTGCCAAGGAGGAGTCTAAAAGTGCATTAGCATCTCCTGACTTGTTGCATTAGTGAATTCTGGCTGCGCTCATCCTTCTGCCTCATACTTTGTAGACAAGGTGACTGTGGGCTGTGAAGGCTGACAAGGGCCACGGCAGGTGAAAGGAGATGGGGATGAGGGGGTGGTGACAGGGAGAGAGAAGGGGGGTCATAGATGCTTTTGAGGGCTCTCAGCTTGTGCACTGTGGGCTCCAAGTAGGTAGGAACTGGGTCTCTACCACTGTAGTGTCCTCAGCATTTGGCACGGTGCCTAGCACAGACTGAGTGCCCAGTAAATGTCTGGCGAACGAAGGCAAGGAGTTACCTGCACAGGCCCAAAGAGACCCTGGAGTAGGTGGAACCTCCCCATAAAGATGGGTCATTTCAATGTCATTCAGCCTGAGAACTGCTGAGGCCTCCGATCTAAAATGTGGGGGCAGAGTTGTCCATCTTCCTTTAGCCGTGATGCTATTCAAGGGAATAAGATGCCAAGGGAATAAGTGGAGGACACTCACCCTTGGGAGAAAGACAGAACAGAGTCTGTGAGCCCCAGAGAATAAATCCTGACTCCAAAGTTAAATTACCTAATTCCTAGTAGGCATTCGGCTATTTCCTCTTTGCTTTATGCAAGTCCTAATCATAATAGTCACCGACATTAACAGAGCGCTCACTATGTGCCAGGCACCATGCTAGACTCTCTTTGTTCACTAGTTCATCTAATTTCATAACAAAACCCCCAAGAGGTAGGTGTTATTACCATTCAGTTTATAAAGGAGGAAGCTGAGTCATGGAGAGGTGAAGAAACCTGCACTAGGGCACACGGGGCAGGAACTGAACCAAGGTCTGCAGGACTCCAGAGGAACATTCCTGACTGCTATGCTCCACGGCCTCCTCTGAAACTCATCTGTGTCAGAGAAGATTGAGTAAAAGGTAAGGTGCCTGTGTTTACTTGGACCACAGTGTTAAAGGGGGTGCAGGACCTCCTCTCCTAGGTCTGCATGTGGTGACAGTGGGTATTATCAAGGGAACCCCAAGGAAAGAACCAGAATTCCAGTCACTCCTTCCCATGAAGATTGGGGAAGGTTTAGGGACAGGTAGATGGAAGTGGAGGTTCAATTCTGCTCACATATATTGAGCACCAACTGTATGCCAGGTCTATTCCGGACACTAGGGGAAAAGGATAACTTAGATACAGTGCCTTCCCTAAAGGGGCTGAAGGACACGTACCTGTCTCTGGGATCTCATCCCTATAGACAAACTAGGGTGCAATTAATAGGCCTCAGCACAGTGTGATGCCTGAGACTGTACCTCCTTCTGTGGGCAGAAGTCCACTGTATCGCTCCCCCCACCTCCCATGGATGGCTCTAGCCAAGGCAGGACTCTGCTCAGGCTTGTATGGTAGCAGGTCCGGGGACTCAGCCCAGTTTCTGCTCTTGGATACAAGCCATGGAGACAATATTTGAGGTGCAGGAGGGTGCCTGTCCCACCTATGCAACTCTTCCACAAACAGTGCTTCTCCAGTGGTCTGGGGCAAGCCAGCTGAGGCAACCATCAGCCGAGGTGGCATTGGACCTGGGGACAGGAGGAAGCAGGATGGTCCTGTTCCCCACCCGTCCATACACATTCTTAATGGAAGAACTTCTGGATTAGAAATGAGGACAGCTGGCTTGGCCCTTTTGTGAATCACCAGGTATTGTGACTCTCATGTGGCTACTTCCCAGGGGTGCAGATCTCCCTGGAGGGTGGGCTGGCATTGAGGCTTGTGCCCACTCATAGACCAGGACCACAGCGTTTTTCTCTTTTTCCATTAGTGATAGAACCAGCCCTACCTTGACTGACATTTGATTTCTAAGGTCTCTTGGCCCTCCCCGCCTAGGTCCTTGCACTCTGCCCCCAAACTTCAAATCTCCCCGCGGGCTTGGGTTGGCCTTCCCTGCCCACTCAGAGGCATATCCTCCAGATGTAAATTGCTCACCCTATCCCAGATTCCCTGAGAGAAGGGAGGCCTTGCTGAGCCCTCCAAAAGCTGCTGCTAACACACTTTCTTCAAAGCAAAAGTCTGGCCCTCTATCTCCACCAGAGGTAGACCACTCTGGTGCTGCGTCAGAGAACAGAGATCTGGTTTCTACGTTTCTGCCAAATCAGAGAAGGAGCTGGAAGCTTCTCTCACTGAGACTAAACTGAGCTCTGCCTCCCTGGCCCCCGGCGACATCCAGCCTGAGCATTCACAGTGTGACGGGCAGCAGGCAGCTCTGCTGGGAAGGAGCCTCAGGGTAGGGATGTCTGAGCTCTGGCTTATGAGCTTCAGAAGGACATTCTAGGCAGAAAGGACAGCACATGCCGAGGTCCAGGGACAGAATCAGCTGGGGGTGTTTCAGGAGCTGTGGTTGGCTTTAGGGAGAAGGGAGGGTGGGGTGTGTGGATGAGGCAGACCAGACCCAGATCTTGTAGGGCTTCTCCTAGGAAGAATGACTCACAAGACCAAGTGTTTTCTGAGCGAAGTTTATTCTCTTTTTCACCTGGTCGCTGACGAGTGTCACAGAGAGCGCTCTGGGCTTCACCTGGAAGAAGTAGGGTGGGGGATGGGTGTCCTGGAAGCTGCTCACTCCTCCTCCTCCTCCTCTGCCCCCTTGTTGTCTATCTGCTTGTGGACAGCATAGCCTACAGCGGCACCAACGTTGGCCATGAGGGCACTGCCACCACCAGTAGCCCCTGTAAAGCAAGTATAGCCAGGTCACGCGCAGCCCAGGCATCGGGCCTGGGAATCCAAAAGTCTGGAAACCAATGGTCAAGTCCAACCTCTTCATTTTCAGATGGAGAAACGGTGGCCCTGAGAGGGAAGGGGACTTCTGCAAAGTGAGTATTATTTCCCCCTCCTCCCAACTCACCACCTCAAATCAGAGCTGTGTTTCAGAGATGAAAAAAAGTCAAAATAACAACTCATTCTCCTCATGTCTTCCGTGATATTAATAATGCTAACAGCAGCCACCTTTGTGGAGACCTCTCTGTGGGTGCTGGAGGGCTCACAAGTAAGAGAGGACAGCCATCTCATAACACTGGACTGTTGCTAGCCCTGCCCAAGCCCCTTACTTCCCACTGCTGGGGTATGGCCTGGCCTGTGTTCCCCACTGCCCTCCTGAGACGGGCTCTGTTCCTCTGGGCTGGTCCATTGGGCTTTGTCATCCAGAACTGAGAGAAGATGGAGGGCTCAGAAAGGCAGAGTTTGTCAGGAGTGTTTTTTTCTCTAGGATTTTGACGGGGGGGGGGGGGGGGGGGGGGGGGGGAGAGAGAGAGAGAAAAGGGTGAAGGAGAGAGAGGGGGGAAAAGAAAGAGAGATTCATAGAGATAGACATGAATGCCAAATTTTTAGAAGGATCATTCTGAGCTCTGTATCAATCCCCTTCATGGTGTTCAAGAAACCCAAGTCAAGACCAGAACTGGTGTGAGATTGAAGTGAGCTGTTCCCCTCTGGGTGTTTGAGAATGAGCAGATTCATAAAATGTTAAATTGAGGAAGATTGTCCTGGTTAGTAGATGAGGAAAACTGAGGCTTGATGTGAAAGACAGCAATCAGACTGTCTGGGTTTGAATCCTGGCTCCAGTGCAAGCCAGCTGGGAGTAAATGACTGAATCAGTTGGTGCCTCAATTCACCCACTGTACGAGGGGGCTTATAAGAACACGCACTTCAGAGAGCTCAGCTGGCCTGCGGAAAGGACCCGGAATAGTAAATAGAGAGACGACCTGTGGCCCTGGTGTCTGCTCCAGGGCCTGGCCCCCAACTCACCCAAACTCTGCAGCGTGGCCACCAGCCCTCCAGCGGGCACGCCGCCCCCGTTCGCTATGGCGGAACAGCTCATCAGCCAGGAGGCCACCGAGTGGGCAGCGATACCGGTGCCCGTGAAGCCCAGAGCGGGCAGCCCGAAGGCCAGGACTCCTGGAGGAAGAGGAGACAGTGAGGGAGCGCCCGGGTCTGGGGTCGCCCCACCTTGTCATACTCCCACCTTCCAGACCCACCTGCTCCAATCGCCATGTAGGGCAGCGCGCCCCAGATTCCGGAGTCGCTGTCTTTCGAGTCTTTCCTTTTGCCTGTGGAGAGAGTGGACAAAGTGGAGTGCAGTGGGGAGCAGAGTCCCCTACTCTGTGCCTGATGCCCAGGAACACCCACAGAGCTGGGGACCACCATCCTCCTATTTCGGAGAGCCTCACTAAAGGGAAGAGACTTTTCCTAAAGCGTTGTGCCTGGCACATAACTGGCATTGAATAAATGTTAGAATGGAGGAATGGACCGATTAGGGATTCGAATCTGGGGCTCTGGCCACGACAAGCCTGCGCTGTCCATTGTAATAGCTTCTCTCATTCAGAGGCACGCCTGAACCTCTAAACCAGCGGTTCTCAACCTGTGGGTCGCGACCCCTTTGGGGGTCGAACAACCCTTTCAGAGGGGTCGGAAGACCATCGGAAAACACATATACAGTGGCGCCTTGACTTACGAGTGTCCCGACTAACGAGTTTTTTGAGATACCAGCTGCCTCTCAGCCGATTTTTTGCATTGAGTTGATAATTGAGTTAACAAGCTCAGTCTCAGAAGGAATTGAACTTGTAACTCAAGGCCCCACTGTATAATTACATATTGTTTTTGTGATTAATCACTATGCTTTAATTATGTTCAATTTGTAACAATGAAAATACATCCTGCATATTAGTTATTTACATGACGATTCATAACAGTAGCAAAATGACAGTTATGAAGTAGCAACGAAAATAATTTTATGGTTGGGGGTCACCACAACATGAGGAACTGTATTAAAGGGTCGCGGCATTAGGAAGGTTGAGAACCACTGCTCTAAACCAAGGATCCTGAAACTTTCCGCTTCTTTCTCCGAGATCTTGCCCTGTCCGGGGATCCTTACCTGCCTCCACCGGCCCGCAGGCGTAGAGCAGCAGGTAGCACAACAAGAGCGATACCACCTTCTGCCGCATGGTGGCAGCTTTGTCGCTGGACCTGGGGACGGGGAGAGGAAAGAGATGATCCAGAGCCATTTTAAGCCAAACCCTCCAGGCTGTCTTCCTTTCCGATTGGAGGAAGAGTCCATACAAAGCCGCGAAGTGCTCTGGACTGAGCCCAGGACCCCTCTCAGGAGCTGCGGGATTTTCGTTTCTTCGTGGCAACAGGAGCAGTGATGTTCCTGCCTCACCCGCTGGTCCTGAGAATCGGTGAGGGAATCCTGTCCTGGTAAGGTGCCTGGCACGTGGCGCATGCTCAATGATGTCAGCTAGTATCCTTGCCGTGGTTTCTGTTCTTGACTTTGTCCTCACTGCCTGCCTGACCTTGGGCAGGATACTAGCACCTTTTCTGGGTCTCGATTTACTCATCCTAAGATGGGTTATTAATAGAGCCTATTTTAGAGGGTGGCTGTGAGTTAGAAACTATTCATCACTATTCCCTAGCACTTAGAACATGATGTCACACAGAATTTTCGGGGGGGGGGGGGGAAGGTTGTGGATCAATTTATTTTTCCAATGCATTGAATAGTTATAGGCACCCAACATTGTCCTCACACCAGCTTCATTTTTCAGAAAGAAAGCAGAGTAAGGTTAAGGAGGTTGCCCAAGGCCACACCGTAAACTATGCAATCTAGACACACACTCATGACTGTTGGAATTCAAAACCTACGTTCATTATTCCACAAAATAGGAAAATATACGTGCCCCCAAATTCACCTGTAATGCACTTTTTGTCAGTTCAATGCAATTTTCTTGAATCAAAAGCAAGTAAACATCGCCCAGCTGGTGTGGTTCAGTGGTGAGCATCAACTCATGAACCAGGAAGTCATGATTGGATTCCTGGTCAAGGCACATGGTCGGGTTTCAGGCTCGATCCCCAGTGGGGGCTATGCAGGAGGCAGCCTATCAATGATTCTCTCTCATCACTGATGTTTCTCTCTCTCTCTCTCCCTCTCCCTTCCTCTCTCTGAAATCAATAAAAAACATATTTAAACAAATAAACAAACAAACTCCCCCCGACCCCTTGTATTGAGCGCCTACACAGCACTTTATGGCACAAGGTCATTTATACCCGTAACCACCACGTGTTATAGATAAGAAAACTGAAACTCAGAGAATTTAATATTCCCATGCCTGCCCAGCAGGGAGAGGCAGAATCCCAACATTACTGATGTCCAAGCCCACATTTTTAACCATTCCAGATGACTCTATTAGCCACGATGAACTCACTGTCACATTCGATCCTGCAACAAAAGGGGTTTCTGAAATCATCCAGGCAAGGTGGCTTGATTATCCTTTTGCAGCTGAGGAACTAAAGCTCAAAAAGGCGAAATGACAGAGCTAAGGCCACAGATTGCTGAAAGGGCATCTGTTACGGTCAGTTTCATGCTTCTTGGAGTTTTGTACCTAAAGGCCCCAACCATCCCCTCAGACCAGTCTTAGCCCAGGGCAGTAAAAGAGACTCAGCCTCCCTCAGGAATGGGCGCCCGGGCTTTCTGGGCAGCCTGGCAAAAGGTGACCGCTTGACACCCATGCCTCTTAGTTTCTGGGTTTACCTTGGAGGAGAGAAGAGAAGGAATCTTCCTGCCCAGAGCCTGCAGATGGGAGCAGCAGTGAGGTATAGCAGCAGCTCTTCCGGGCTGCAGGCTGGCTTTTATCACATTCCAATTATACCCCCCTTTCCTGATAGCCAATCCCTGTCAGAGTTTCCATTTCCTACACTCTGCAGAGTTTCCTTTTCTCCTCCGTCTCCTGCCAGTAACACCCTCTCTGCTGGCAGCAAAATGTGATTCTAGCCAGAGGCTTTGAACAGCTAAGAGTATTCAAAGGTCATGCTACAGTGCTTAGTGAAGCCCAACCACTAGTTCCTCTTGGGGCCCAGAGGCCCTTCACAATTAAATTCAGTCTATAATAATAAAAGCGTAATATGCTAATTAGACCAGATGTCCTTCTGGACAACCTTCCAGAAGCCCGGGTCCTGGGTGCAAGAGGGAAGCCAGTGCTGGCAGGGGGAAGGAAGGCCTACTCTTGAATTTCGTGCATGGGGCCTCTAGGGAATAATAATGCCTACCATTTATTGAGTGCCGGCTACATGCCAGGATCTGTGCAGAGTGCTCTATGTACAGGATCTTTCCAATCCCACAATAGTTTCGTGAAGTACATATATTGTTTTTTAAACATTATTTTAAATCCTAATTGTGAGTTTATTTTATCCTATAACTAGTTCAGATTTTCAAATGATTAAGGATTTGTCATGGCTACCAGAACAGGACTTGGGCTGCAGAGTCCCTGCAGACATCTCCTTCCTCAGCCCCTCAAGTCTTGGTTTAATCCACATAGTTATCATCTTTAGTTGAGAGCTCTTCGAGATGGCCATTTTCTTGGCTTGCAGCTTTGAAAGAAGCATTGTGAGAATCATCCCCTCTGATAACCTAAGAAGGAGATTTGGAGCCAGGATGCATTTCAGGAGCACTTTAATGCTGAAAGTAATTTATTTCTTGTGGAGTTTTGACATTCCCTTCAGTCTGGCCAGATGAGTCAGAAGAAGGACTCTGTTGAGGCATTCCTGGCAGGCATTTCTTCTTCAAGGCCTCCTTTTCAAGGGGTTTTGTGTTCTTCTGCATGGCTATGGTCTTCTTTGTGGAACTAGCTACAGATATCAGTGGTTCTTCTTTTGCTTTAGTGATTTTCCTGTAATGATAAGCCAGTGGGGTCACTGGGCTGAACCTTCTCCACCTCTACCAAGTGCCTGGGCAAGGCACTTTCCAAAGCACCTCTTCAGATAGTCAGTTTGCATCTTGTGAGAAAGTTCCAGTCCTGATTCTGCCATTTATTAGCTGTGTGGTCTTCAGCAAGTCACCAGTCTCTGTGAGCCTTGGTTTTCTCATCTACCCTCATATGTGTTCTCTCCTCTACAATATACTGTTTATAATCCTCATTTTGCAGAGGAGATTAAAGCTTGTGGAAATGAAATCATTCTATACCATTGTTCTCTCAAGCTGGCTAATCTGGAATGCTGAATAATCTGGAATGGTTAAAAATGTGGGCTTCCCTGGTCTTACCGTATACCTAGCAGCAGCCAGCTTGAGAGAACAATGGTATAGAACAGCGGTTCTCAACCTGTGGGTCGCGACCCCTTTGGGGGTCGAAAGACCCTTTCACAGGGGTGGCCTAAGACCATTGGAAAACACATATATAATTACATATTGTTTTTGAAATTAATCACTATGCTTTAATTATGTTCAATTTGTAACAATGAAAATACATCCTGCATATCAGATATTTACATGATGATTCATAACAGTAGCAAAATTAGTTATGAAGTAGCAACGAAAATAATTTTATGGTTGGGGGTCACCACAACATGAGGAACTGTATTAAAGGGTCGCAGCATTAGGAAGGTTGAGAACACTGGTATAGAATGACTTCATTTCCACAAACTTTAATCTTCTCTGCCATAAAATGGGTGCTCTGGCCTTGGGCAATGGATTGAATGTTTTTTAAGCCTTTGCATGGTGATACTTGCAGGAGCACTATAGGTAAGAAATATAAGTTCTAATGAGGATGATCATTGCCTTCTCCAATGTGGAAGAGAGCTGATACAAATGACCTGCCATGTGCCCAGAAGGTCATGGTTCAATTCCTGGTCGGGGCACATGCCAGGGTTGTGGTCTCAATCCCCAGTAGGAGGTCTGCAGGAGGCAGCTGATCAATGATGCTCTCTCCTCACTGATATTTCTCTCTCTCTCTCTCTCTCTCTCTCTCTCTCTCTCTCTCTCTTCCCCTCTCCCTTCCTCTCTGAAATTAATAAAAATATATTTTAAAAATAAATAAATAAGTAAATAACCTATCATTAGATGGCTGGCTGCTCTCCCTGACCAATGTTGCTAAACTGCTGCCTGCTGCTTAGCTGGTTAGCTATTTGTTGGCAATTACTAGATCAGCCTTGGCAAGAGAGAGCCCAACTTGTTGGATCCTTGCAACCATAGCCACTCTTTATATATATATATATATATATATATATATATATATATATATATATATATATATAGAATTTATTGGGATGACATTGGTTAATTAAACTATTTGGTTTCAGGTGTATAATTCTATAATACATCATCTTTGTATTTTGTGTTCACCACCTCAAGTCATTTATCCCACCTTTACCCTCCTGCCTCTCCCTGGCCCGCTTTCCCTCTGGTGATCACCATACTGTTGTCTGTGTGCATGACTTTTGTTTGGCTTTATCCCTGCACCTTTTTCACCCAGCCCCCCACGTCAGCTCCCCCCTGACAGCTGTCAGTCTGTTATCTGGATCTAGGAGTCTGTTTCTGTTTTGTTAATTTATTTTGTTCATCAGATTCCACATGTAAGTGAAATCATATTGTATTTGTCGTTCTCTGACTGGCTTATTTCACTTAGCGTAATACTATCCAGGTCGATCCATGCTGTTGCAAAGGGTAAGATTCCCTTCTTTTTTACGGCCAGGTAGTATTCCAAAAAGTGTACCACAGTTTGTTTGTTTTTTATCTACTCATCTACTGATGGGCATTTGGGCTGCTTCCAAATCTTGGCTATTGTAAATAACGCTGCAGTGAACATAAGGGGACATACATTCTTTCTGATTGGTGATTCGGGTTTCTTCAGATATATTCCCAGAAGTCGAATCTCTGGGTCATAAAGCAGTTCCATTTTTTTTTTAACTTCATGGTTCAAAGTATTACAAATGTCCCCTTCTCTCCTTCCCCCCCCCCACACCCCTCCAACCCCTACCCCAGGCCTTCTCTGCACTATGGCACTATCGTTTGTCCATGGGCTATGCATATGTGCTTATAAGTTCTTTGTTTCATTTCATAGCCACTGTTTTATGGGTCTTTTGCAAAACGATAGAGTGACTAAGTTTAAAGGCTGGCTGACATCCACAGGATGGAATATCTGGCCATCTGGCTGAGAGGTTCCTCCTGCAGTAGATGCTCTTTGGTGAGCATAAATGTTAACACAAAAATCTGCATGCTTTGTGCCCACTCCTACAGCTCCATCCACGTGCCCCTTACCCAGACCTCATTGTCTGCAAATTCCAATCTTGCTCTTTCCATGCCCTTGACCAACTAACCAAGTTGCCACTTATCAGAAATTAATGTGTATCTGAATCTCAGTCCATATCTTCCTCTATACAAAGGGTATTCTGCCCCCTGGGAGGATTTAGCACTGTCCTTCAGGGCTGCCTCCGACTGGGGCCGTAATAGAGCGGTCCATTTCCAGATGGTGCCAAAATATCTCACTGACCTATCTGTGAAATGGGTTCAACTCCTTTCCTTCTTTATCCGTTGTTTACAGGGAACCCTCCATGAGGCCATAGGTATGGGTTACAGGAGAGGGGTCAGATCAACAGATTTAAATGTAGGCGCCGCGGGAGTCTGAGCTGCCTGTTCATTTGACTTACTCATGCCTCTGGACTCTTTGAGCCCAGCCCTGAATGTACCACTTCCATCATATTGGATTGCTGCTGTGCCTGTCTGATAACATCTAGCTTAAGACATATAGTCACCTGGCATCTAGTGGTCAGATGCTCAGTCACTACTGGGCCCAGTGACACATCAGGATCTTTTTGTTCAAATGGACCATGGTGAGTATGGCCTTACTTCAGAATTCAAGGGCTCCTCACTGCAACCCTTCAGAGCTTTCAGAGGCTCCCTACAGAATATTTATCCAGGTGGATTCTTCCAGCAACCTTGTATCTGCAGGATAACATCATCCAAAGTATTAGCATAGCCTGTTTTATGGTTTGAACCTGCTGTACAGCTCTTTCTGGCTCTGGGCACTACTCACAATTGGCAGCCTTCGAGGTCACCCAATAGAGGATTAGAGAAGTAGTTCTAAGTGTGTGTATTCTGCCTCCAAAATCTGAAGAGGCCTACCAAACACTGTGCCTCTTTTTAAGTGGTGAGATGTTTGAAGAGAGATAACTTGTCCTGCTGTGCTCCAAACCACTGAAGTCCTAAAAAGTTCCCAATGTGGCAGGACCAGGAATCTTCATGTAATTTATCTTCTACTCTCTGGCAAACGTGGTGCTTTTACACTTCCTATTCAGGTACAAGAGTATGATGTCATTAAGGTGGTGGACCAGCATGTTGTTCTGTGGAAAGTCACAGCAGCAATCAAGGTCCCTGAAGGCTACATTTTAAGAGAGCTGGAAAGTTAACAAAGCACAGAGGGGAGAGAATGCAGGTGCTATCATCGTGCCATTGTGAAGTAAAAGCAAACTGCCTTTCATTGTCCCTTCTCAT